GCTTCTCCATGTCAGTAGGTTTCTCCACACAAATGAGCAGTATCCCGTTGTTGACCTTCTATCTGTTAATTCTCCAGCCCAGCTTGAATCTGAGAAGATTTTAACTATTTTGTCTTCATGTTTTCTGGAAATCAACCAATGCCCTGGTGTCATCTTTATATATCTTAAGATTCGATTAACTGCCTCCAGATGTTATTCTCTTGGATCATTCATGTATTAACTAACAATGCTAACAGGAAAAGTAATGTCAAGTCTAGTTAGAGATAGATAAATGAGTTTACCAACTAGCCTCTAATAATGTTCCTTATTTACCGGGTTTTTATCTTTACTCAATTTCAAGTTAACTTCCATAGGAGTTTCCGAGGGCTTACAATTAGTCATTCTAGTTTTAGAAAGTAAGTCTATAATATACTTTCTTTGATTTATGACAATTCCTTCTCGTGATCTCGCTACCTCAATGCCTAAGAAATATCTCAGAGTTCCCAAATCTTTGGTTTCAAACTCTTTTGCTAGTAATGTCTTCAACTTCTCGATTTCTACCAAGTCATCACCTGTGATGATGATATCATCAACGTAGACAATCAAGATTGACTTCTTCTTATCAGGAGCAGTTTTTACAAACAGAGTGTGATCGGATTGACACTGTTTGTAGTTGTCTTGTAACATTACCTTCGTGAATCTATCAAACCAAGCTCGAGGTGATTGTTTTAGACCATATAAGGATTTCAGTAATTTACATACCCAGTTATTTCCATAATGAATTTCTGGTGGAACTTGCATATAAACTTCTTCTTCAAGATTACCATTGAGAAATGCATTTTTTACGTCTAGTTGGTAAAGTATTCAATCTTTGTTCACTGCCAAGGATAATAAAACTCGAACAGTGTTGAGTTTTGCAACTAGATCAAAGGTCTCCTGATAGTTAACTCCATAAGTCTGAGTGAACACTTTTTCCATAAGTCTAGCCTTATATCTCTCAATTTTTCCATCTGCCTTGAATTTCACAGTAAAGACCCATTTACAGCCGACTGGTTTCTTGTCTTTAGGTAGATCAACAATGACTCAGGTTTTGTTATTTTCTAGAGCTAAAATTTCTTCTTCAACTGCCTTCTTTCACTCAGGACTTTTTAATGCCTCCTCTATGGTCTCTGGAATGTGAATATGATTAACCTGTGAAAGTCTTAAAACCAAACATTAGTTTCCCATAAGCAACAAATTTACTAATAGGATGAGTTGTACATCGTCTAACTCCTTTTCTTTGAGCAATTGGTAACTCGTTGTATCAATTACCACATTTAACTTACTTTGGTCACTATCTCCTTTGTATGTCGATAGGTTTAAACCCGGTTCTGGCTCTTGACAATGCATTGGCTGCGGTGTGAAAGGTAGGGCTTGTTTGGGTCGTCTTTTGTGGATGAGAATATCGGTACATGGTATAGGTGTTTCATGAGAGTCGATGGGATTAATGGATTGGTTTTCATTATCAGATGTGGTGGTGTTAGGAGGTTGTGGAGTGGTAGGTTTTTTAGTAGAAGATGGACTGATGGGTAACTTAGTAATAATCGATAAAAATTGAAATTCAGACTCACTCTCCCCCTGGATTTCGATTTTTGACAAGAACGGTTTATTTTCTTGAAAAGTGACATCCATAGATGTGAAGAACTATTTTGTAGGAGAGTAACAACGATAACCTTTCTGATGGGATGAATAACAAACAAAGACACACCAAATTGCTCAAGGATCAAGTTTAGATTTATAAGGATTGTGGTCATGAACAAATGCAATATAACCAAGGACACAAAGAGGGACAGAAGAGGTAAAAGATTTGAAGTGAGAGAATTTAGTGGAAAGGATATCCTGTGGACACTTAAAGGCGAGAATATTACTAGGCAAACGATTGATTAGAAAAGTAGTTGTTAAGAGAGCCTCACCCCAAAGGTATTTCGGAACATTAGAAGAAAAAATAAGTGCTCGGGTTACCTAAAGAAGATGATGAATTTTACGTTCGACGACCCCATTTTGTTGTGGAGTGTCAACACAGGAAGTGAGGTGGACTATTCCGTTTTCCTGGAAGAAGGATCCCAATGACTGAGAGAGGTATTCCCCACCATTATCAGATTTAAGGATGCCAATGGAACTTTGGAATTGTATTTCAACCATTTTGTGAAATCGTTTGAAGATGGTACAAGACTCAGATTCGTCCTTCAGAAAAGTCCAAGTGGTACGAGAGTGGTCGTCAATAAAAGTAATAAACCAACGAATTCCATGTAAACTTGTCCGTGAAGGTCCCCAAATGTCACTATGAATTAAGGAAAAAGGTTTAGGCAAGCGAGATGAGGAAGGAGGATAATAACTCCAAATGTATTTTGCAAAAGAGCAAATGTCACAAGAAAATGATACGAGATTTTTATTAATAAATCATTTGGGAAACAATTTTGCAAGATAAGAAAAAATTAGGTGACCGAACCTAAAATGCCATAACACAATGTTGGCAGTCGCATCTGTTGGAGAAACTAAAACAAAAGAAGAGATAAATGGTGCAGGTGAGTGGTTGGGAATGAGAGTATAAGGAGGAACGTCAAGGATGTAGAGTCCACCACGACACCTAGCATTGACAATCACCATCCCCAAGGTCAAATCCTGAAATTCACAATAAACACGAGTAAAATGAGAAGTACAACCTAAATCGGTAGATAATTTGCTAATTGAAAGAAGGTTGCAAGTCAAACTAGAACAAAAAGAACATTAGACAGAGTAATGTAGCTATTAATGCAAACTGAGCCACTACCCTTAACCGGTGATAGGGAGCCATCAGCAGTACGAACACTGCATGAGATACCATTTTTATGAAATGTGGAAAGTAAACTAAAGTTGCCTATCATATTATCACTTGCTCCAGAATCAACAATCCAAGAGACACCTTGGTGAAAGGGATAAGAAGGTAAAAGGAGAACTACCTTCACTAACAGTGAAGACAGACTTGGACTCGGTAGCAGGAGGAATCCGTAAATGACCAAACATATGTCGTAGATCGTCCAGTTGTTAACGAGAAAAGAAACCACCCTCCAATGTCATTACAACAGAGTTACCATGAGATGGACACGAGTAGGATTTTGATGGAGTTCAGTTGGTTGGACGGCCATGGAGCTTCAAACACTTATCACGAACATGACCAGGTTTCTGACAGTGATCGCACCAGGGACGACCTTTCTTGATACGGGTGTCACTGGATGAATGGGTATTTAAGGCAGAACTTTCAACGGGTGGAGGAAGCATCAAAGAGAGGCAGCTTTCTTAGCAGCGAACTTCAAAGAATACCTCGCGAAGAGACAGAAGAGGCTTGATGCCCAGAATCCGACCACGAACATCATCAAGAGAGACGGACAGTCCCGATAGGAATTGAAAAATACGTCGTTTTTCAAGTAGCCCTTTGTAGAGTTTGGCATCTGCAGCAGTTTGCCAATCGGGAGACTCAAATAGATCAATTTGCTGCCATAAGTGAGACAACTTAGTGAAATATTGGGTAACAGTAAGATCGCCCTGCTTCAAGTCATTTGTTCGACATTCAATGGCAAACAGAGCGGACGAGTTTTCCTGATTGGAGTACATCTTCTTGGTAGCGTTCCAGATTTCTGAGGCATGGTGTAGAGCATGAAGTTCACGCTAATGTCAGGCAGCATAGAGTTGAGGAGCCAGGACATAATCGTGGTGTTCTCGGTGAGCCAAGTGTCGTATTGGGTGTCAGAGGGATCGGGGACGAGCATATTGTCAAAAAAGATATTGTTGTTTCCGGCGACTGGTGATGAACAGACGCACGGATTGAGACCAGACAATGTAATTCTCACCATTTAGACGATGACAAGTAATGGATGGGGAAACCGAGTCGGAAAGAGACGACTGAACAATGTAAGTTTCAGCCTCGGGATGGCAAGTCAGACGAAGAAGGATAAGCCATGACTGGCAAGGAATTGAGAGCTCGGGATACGCCGTGAACTAGCAGGGAATACTGCTATAAGTGACAATCGGAGATTTGAGGAGATCGGCGCTAGGATGAGTGTCGAATGGGCTGTGCGACGAGGAGACAGTGTTGGCCGAATAGTTACCAACAGCGGCGGAACAGGTACAAAACAACGAAATGGGAAGGGATGTCGCTGTGATGAGGGCAGCGCTGGACCGGTAGCGCGACAAGTGCAGTACGGCGAGGAGAGCAGTGTTGCGACAGAAGCGGCACTGTTGTGGTTGCACAGCAAGGAAGACGAAGCTGTGAAGGAGAGGTGATGCGAAGAGGGTGGTGCTGCGATGCGAGGAGAACAGGGTTGCAATAAGGACGGTGCTGCAAAGGGTTCGACGATGGGAGAAGAACAACTCTGTGATGGGTGGTGTGTTGAAAGGATTTCACAATTGGAAGAAAGGCAGTGCACAGAAAGCACACCGATGGTCAGAAGGATGTCGAACGGCAACGGTAGCAAGGCTGGGATCGACGCCGACGACTAATACCATGTAGAAATAGAGTTTTTTCGGTTCTGGTAAACATGGTTTTTTGATTCTGAAATTATTTTATTCAAAGAACAATTGTATATTACACAAGAGGATACATAGGATTTTTATATATATGAATTAGAGACCTAGATAAGATAGGAGTCATCTTTTCTACAAATTAGGAGATAGTTTTTTAGATAAGTTAGGATTCAGAGTTTAACTTAAACACTACTTACACTATCTATTCTAGAATGAAATGTATTAGATCACAGCTGAAAAGCAACTACCAGGAGAAACAGTATGAGATTAGGAGCCAGATTCTAAACTAGCAATTTAAAGTTATAACACATCATTCTCCAACAAGGCCCAGCATGATTGAGCACCTCACCACAGAAAAGGAATCCAAACATAAAATGATAAAACTCTCATTTTTTTTCTAAGAAATTTCCTAACAGTTTCAAAGAATATGATGGAACTAAGATAAAGATATAAAATTCACTTCCATGAACAAGAAAGCCCACCTTGTAACCAAACCAGTGCCATTAACATCAATTTTTTTGAAAAGTGGCGTGGAGAAAAATGAAGGCAGCTTGCAGACTTCCTTGGTGACAAGTTTGAAATCTGAAAATTTTAGAAAGTAAAACATGAATATCAAATGAGTACCAGAAATATCAGTCAAAGCGAAGCACACATGTTTCTTACGTGGCAGCTGTAGTCCATCAGGGTGGCCAGCAAAGAACTGACTGATTTGAGACATGCATTGTTCTTTTAGATCATTTGGAGGTGGACGACCATTTTTAAAGTAAAACTGGATGCAGTTTCAAGTACCAACATAATAAGTTATCACAACTTCGGGATAGAAATGAAAATATAGCACATAAAACACAAGCAAGGACAACAATGGCAAAAGAAAAATATCATATCAATTAAAAAAAGATCCAAACCTGAGGTATAAACTCTTTCACGGGTTCGCTAACTACTTTCAGTGGAGAACCCAAGTTTGAAGGACCGGGCCTTTGTTTTGTTGTTATACGAGGGGAATCAGATGTACTTCTTGGTGAAAGAGGAGGAGCACTGCCGGCAGGAAACATGGAAGGTAAAGAATGGCTTGAGGGAGACCCTCCACTGGAAGCATTTCCAGGAACGTTCAAGGGATTACCTGCCTTTGCATCATTAACCAATGATGTTACCTAGCAAAGCAACAAGAATTAAATGTAATAAATTACATGAATTCCATATTCTCTGCTTCAAAAGATGCTAATGAGTGAAAATTCAAAACACCATATTTAAAAGCAAAACACCATATTTAAAAGCAAAACATAGCTTAATCATTCAAGATTAGACAACAGCAATTACTGGATACATAACTTAAAATCGATTTGCAGAGAAAACTAAACGCAACCAATGTAAGATAAGAGTCCTTAACAAAGCCAGCTGGAAAATTAACAACAAGATGTTACCATATTCTGTTTGCATTGATTTAATCCATTATATATCTAAGTAATGCGGAATTCAGATAAATATACGCATAATGAACTAATTAAAGCATGTAACAGGCGCAAAATAATGCTTAAAATAATCATAAGAAATACTCTTTTAAATATAAAAATAAATAAAATTTACCATCAAATTACCTAGCAATGATCTAACTTGTACAATGTTAAGGCAACAACAATAGATCATTTTCAATTCAAGTATCAAAATTCAAATCAAACATAACGAAGATCCGGAATTAGAAACCGAAGAGTATACCAACTTGATAGCGTCGGGAAGCGAAAGCCACTGATCGAAAAGCTTTTGAGTGAATTCAGGATAGGATTTGAGAGTTAAAGGAGACATCTCCTGGAGATGTGTTATGTATGGCTCATAAAAAGTCTCGTTGTGGGGTTACGAATTATGTGGGTTGGGGGTGTGGGGGCGCAGCCCCCGCGGTACGGTACAGGGTTGATTTTGTAATTATGTACCAGGGTTTTCTATTATAACTAGAGATGTAACCTAGACCTAAAATATCATTGAATAAAACTTCTAGCGCCGCCTAGGCACCGAGGACGTAAGCACATTGCCGAACCTCGTAAAATTCTCGTGTTCTTTCGTTTTCTTTACCCGTTTTCGTCAACAATTGGTATCAGAGGTCAGGAGCAAAATTCGAAGTCGCGAAATTCGATGGCCAGGGTAACTTCGGATTATGGAAAACGAGGGTGAAGGATCTATTGGCGCAGCAAGGGATCTTGAAGGCTTTGCGACCTACAAAGCCGGCGTCGATGGATGAGGAAGATTGGGAAGAATTGCAGCAGCGAGCGGCAGAAACCATACGATTATGCTTGGCAGACGAGGTCATGTATCACGTCATGCATCTATCGTCTCCAGACAAAATTTGGAGGAAGTTGGAAAGTCAGTTTATGTCCAAATCCTTAACGACAAAACTGTATCTGAAGCAGCGGCTGTATGGGCTGAAGATGCAGGACGATCACGATTTGGCGCAAAACGTGAATGTCTTCAATCAAATCGTTTCTGATCTGGCTCGGCTTGATGTGAAAATTGAGGATGAAGACAGAGCGATGATTCTGTTGTGTTCGTTGCCTTCCTCTTACGAACACATGGTGACTACTCTTACATATGGGAAAGAGACTATCAACGTTGAGGAGATTACTGCAGCCTTGTTGGCTCACAACCAGCGGAAGCAGAATGCAGGGGAAAGCTCTCAAGCCGATAGCTTATATGTCAAGGGTAATCGAGATCGTGGACGGAAGCCAGAGAAGGCAGGGTCCGGGAAGCGGAATTCCAGATCCAAATCCAGGGATAAGAAGACGATTCACTGTTACAAGTGCAAGGAGGCGGGACATATGAAGCGAGACTGTCCGAAGTTGAAAAAGCAGACCGATGAGAAGCGTGATGGCTCATCCAAGTCTGTGAACGTGGTCGAGGATGATACTTCTGATTGCAGTGAGGGTGATATGCTTTCTATTTCAACGACACAATTGACGGATGCTTGGATTCTTGATTCTGGATGTTCTTATCACATCACGCCAAATAGGGAATGGTTTTCGACATACAGGCCGGTTAATTCTGGTTCGGTTTATTTGGGTGATGATCGATGTTGCAATATTGTTGGTATTGGTGATGTCAGAATTAAGATGCACGATGGCTCCGTTCGGACGTTGAGTGGTGTTCGACATATCCCAGACTTGAAGAAGAATTTGATTTCCTTGGGCACTTTGCACAAGAATGGTTTTATCCCTAAGGCTGACGAGGATAGGGAAACCATTCGGATTGTTAAAGGAGCATTGACTGTGATGAAAGGCAAGATGACTGCAGGGAATATCTACAGATTGTTAGGGAGTACCGTTGCAGGTGGAGTTCACTCTGTTGAGTCCTGTGATGATACGACAAAATTGTGGCATATGCGCCTTGCTCATCTTAGTGAACGTGGTATGGCAGAATTACACAAGAGAAACTTGTTGCATGGTGTCAAAAGCTGTAAGCTCGATTTTTGCAAGTATTGTGTTCTTGGTAAACAGACTAAAGTCCGTTTCAAGACTGCGAAGCACACAACTCAGGGATTCTTGATTATGTGCATTCTGATGTATGGGGGCCTTCCACGACATCGTCTTTGGGTGGATCTAGGTACTATGTTACTTTTATTGATGATTTTTCACGGAAAGTTTGGGTGTATTTTTTGAAACAGAAATCTGAAGTTTTTGAGAAGTTCAAGCTGTGGAAAGCTGAGGTAGAAAACCAAACAGGACGAAAAATCAAGTGTTTGCGGTCTGATAATGGTACGGAGTACACAGATTCACAGTTCCTACAATTCTGTAAGGAGCATGGGATTCAGAGGCATTTTACAGTGCGCAAGACACCACAACAGAATGGTGTTGCGGAACGAATGAACAGGTCGTTGAATGAAAGAGCCAGATGTTTGCGGTTGAATGCGGGGCTTCCCAAACACTTCTGGGCTGAGGCTGTTAACATGGCGTGTTACCTTATCAACAGATCGCCAAGGGCATCGCTGGCTGGGAAAGTTGCAGAAGAGGTATGGACTGGTCATGATGTTAGTTTTGATAACTTACGGGTTTTTGGTTGTCCTGCTTATGTGCATGTACCTGCTGATGAGAGATCTAAACTTGATGCAAAATCGAAGGAGTGCATTTTTCTGGGTTACAAGAAAGGTGTCAAAGGATTCAAGTTCTGGGATCCAGTTGCGAAGAAAGTTGTGATTAGTAGAGATGTCATTTTTGATGAACAGTCTATGTTGCAGCAGAAGCAAGACACGACAGTGGTAGATTTCGAGCAGTTTCCAGTTGAGAAACCAGAAACTTCTCAACCGACTTCTGGTGGTTCCACTACGGATGATTTGCAGGATTATAGTCTCGCCAGAGACAGGGTGAGACGGACGAATATAAAGCCTCCGAACAGATTGGGTTTTGAAGACTTGGTATCTTTTGCACTTACTGTTAGCAATGATGATCCAGTTACTTTTCATGATGCCGTTACTAGTCAGGAAAACGACAAGTGGATGGCAGCCATGGTTGAGGAGATGGAGTCTTTGAATCACAATCGCACATGGGAGTTAGTTCCCCTTCCTGAGGGTAAGAAGCCGATTGGTTGCAAATGGGTGTATAAGAGAAGAAACCAGCAGTAACAGAAAAAGAGGGGGAGAAGTTCAAGGCTCGTTTGGTAGCGAAGGGTTTTTCACAGCAGAAAGGAGTTGATTATGATGAAATCTTTTCTCCTGTGGTCAGGCACACTTCAATCCGAGCAGTACTTGCATTGGTGGCTAGTTGGGATTTGCATTTAGAGCAGATGGATGTTAAAACTGCTTTTTGCATGGTGATTTAGAGGAGCAGATCTACATACGGCAACCTGAAGGTTTCACTCAACCTGGAAACGAGCATTTAGTTTGCAGATTGAAGAAATCTTTGTACGGGTTAAAACAGTCTCCGAGACAGTGGTATAAACGGTTTGACTCCTATATGATCAAGATTGGCTACAACCGATGTGAGTATGATTGTTGTGTCTATGTTAAGAGCCTTGATGATGGTTCTTTTATTTTTCTATTATTGTATGTTGATGATATGTTGATTGCTGCGAAGAACATGGATGATGTTATCGGTTTGAAAACTTTATTGAGTCAGGAATTTGATATGAAAGATTTAGGTGCTGCAAAGAAAATTCTTGGAATGGAAATTTGCAGGGACAGAGACTCAAGGAAACTGCGGCTATCTCAACGGGGTTATGTTGAGAAAATGCTAGAAAGGTTTGCGATGAGCAGCGCGAAACCAGTTGGCACTCCATTGGCGAATCACTTTAAGCTCTCATCAGAACAGTGCCCTAAGACAGATAAGGAAGCTGAAAATATGGCAAAGGTTCCGTATTCTAATGCTGTTGGCTGCTTGATGTATGCGATGGTATGTACTCGTCCTGATTTAGCTCATGCTGTTAGTCAAGTTTGTAAGTACATGTCTAAACCTGGTAAGCAACATTGGGATGCAGTCAAGTGGATCTTTCGGTACTTAAAGGGTACTGTGGGACATGGAATTGTTTTTAGGAGTCAGCGGGATAATCCTTTGGTTGTAGGATATGTGGATTCAGATTATGCAGGTGACTTGGATAATAGAAGATCTACGACAGGGTATGTGTTTACTCTTGGTGGAGGGCCTATTTGCTGGAAGTCTACTGTTCAATCTGTCGTGGCACTATCTACAACTGAAGCTGAATACATGGCAGCGGCTGAAGCTGCAAAAGAAGCTTTATGGCTTACTGGTTTAGTGAAGGAGTTGGGTGTTCAACAAGGTGGAGTTCAGTTGCTTTGTGATAATCAAAGTGCTATTCACTTGGCTAAGAATCAGGTGTATCGTGCTAGAACTAAACATATTGATGTAAGGTTCCACAAGATCAGAGAGTTGGTTGCATCTGGAGAGGTTTTGTTTCAGAAGGTACATACTGATGAGAATGCCGCTGATATGTTCACCAAGCCAGTTACGACAGACAAGTTCAAGCATTGCTTGGACTTGTTGAATGTTTCGAGTTGTTAAAGAAGCAAGGTAACCCAACCCACATTGAAGTTTCCAAGGGGCAGGATATTCGCCAAGGTGGAGATTTGTTATGTATGGCTCATAAAAAGTCTCGTTGTGGGGTTACGAATTATGTGGGTTGGGGGTGTGGGGGCGCAGCCCCCGCGGTACGGTACAGGGTTGATTTTGTAATTATGTACCAGGGTTTTCTATTATAAATAGAGATGTAACCTAGACCTAACATATCATTGAATAAAACTTCTAGCGCCGCCTAGGCACCGAGGACGTAAGCACATTGCCGAACCTCGTAAAATTCTCGTGTTCTTTCGTTTTCTTTACCCGTTTTCGTCAACAAGATGCAATAGCTCCACATCCAAACACGCTAAATCTCCAACAATAACAGCCTCCATTTTCTTTTCTTTGCATAACCAAAACACAGCTCAACCAAAACTTTCCGCACAGATCAAATGACAATCAGTTTCCAAAAATTAATCCCCTATTAAGACAGCTGATGTAAGCTTAGTAAAATAGTTTTAATAAATTAATAAAAAATATGAATAGAGAAACTTCGATTTAGAACTAAAAAACGTAGAACATCCTAGATCTTCATTGCGGAACGGAGCTCCAATTTTGTTTTCAAACAAAAAAAATTATTTTGAGAGATGAAAAATCGATGCGATTCAAGAAGGATATTAGCTAAGAAATTGCAGAGATTTGAATAGCATTTAGTAAATTATTAATAAAGAATATAAAATGTTTTTTCCTGAATAAATTAAGAAAAAAGAAATTACAATTTCTCCTTCGTCACGCGTCGAGATTACATTTAGAGAAAATAACCTCAGTGACCAAAAAATCTCATATAATATACGATTTTAACCAACTTTTTTCGGATTTGCCAAAATGACCAACAAAATCGCAATGCGATCGCTAATTCGCAACGCGATCTCCATTATCGTAAATTCGCGTTGTATTTTCGCAATGCGATAGTTGAAAATCGCGTTGCGATGGTCTACAATATCGTTGCGATTTTCCCAATTCGCAATGCGAATAAGTAAATCGCAACGCGAATTGGGAAAATCGCAATGCGAATAAGTAAATCGCAATGCGAATTGGGAAAATCGCAATGCGATACTTACTATCGCAATGCGATAATACAAAATCGCAACGAGATACTTACTTTCGCAACGCGATACTGACTTTCGCAACGCGATTTACATAATCGTAATGAGATTTTCAAAGCGCCATTAGTATCTTGGCCAAGTATTTTATTTTTAAATTCCAAACATGAATATTAATATATTGGAACACTGAACTGTCCACAGTATATCCCGTAATCGCAACTCATAACCTAAAACCTAAAATCACAACTCAGTCCCATCTCCATCTCTCACTCTCTCACCCATCTCCGACGAAATCTGTCCCCATCTCCGGCGAAATCCGTCTATCTAAATCTCTCAGAGTCACCCTCACAATCAGAAATGGAAAATCAACCAAATCAACCAACGAGGGTTAGTTTTTTAATTATTTCTTTTTGAAATTTTTGCATTATTATTAGGTTTTTCATATTGAAATTGATGATAAGTTTACTGGTAATTTCAATAATAGATTAACCATTTCACTTAGATTGCTTATTAAATCAACCAAGAATCGCAACGCGAAATGCAAATCGCAACGCGATTTTAGTTTCGCGTTGCGATTCTCTCGTTGCGATAGTCATTTTCGTGTTGCGATTTTCATTTTCAGAAACTATTCTTCTTCTGCAAATTGAAACTTGAATGAATTGCATTACTTCAACCAAAAAACAAAGACAAATACGAAATTCACAGTGTTGCATATTTAAGTTTGAAGAATAAACTACTACTATTTATGTTTATTATTGTTTTTGGTATATCTTCACAGTGTAGTTTTTGGTATATCTAATTTAGTATGTTTATTGTTTTTGTAGAACTTTTATTCGGCTCAATTGACCTTGAGAAATAAAGTCAGCCTGGCCAAAACAATTGCGTCGAAGCTTTCACCTGCACAAAGAAAAATGTTTGAGGATACATGCTTCGGGCCATGGCTGAAAGTACAACATCCCGGTGGAGATGCGATGTTGACACCTGTTTCTTCAAACCATGACTAGAGATCTACCAGAGACTATACAACGTCGTGATGAAGAGATATGGTTTGATTTTCCACCGGCGTATACGTGTTTGGGCGGGAGGAGTTTTGCTTAATCACGGTCTACGCTTCGGACACGATGATGTAGGTCGGTACACTAGACACATACCCGCCCATCATGGCTATCCCGGGTTTTTCCTGAGCTGGAGAGGCCGAGTCTACACGTAGAAGACCTGACAAGATTTTTGAATAATAAAGATGGTTTTATTCGGATGGATGACGTCGACGTTGTCCGAGTATGCCTTCTAATTCTTTTGCATGCCGGCTTTTTAGGCAGAGAGGCCAGACAACCTATTCCAAATGATCTAATCAAATTGGTAGAAGACCTAAATGCGTGGAACCTGTTTCCGTGGGGCTCGTATTTATGGAAAGCTACATGGAATAAGTTATCGTCTGCCTTGGATGATCGAAAAAGTTTGCATGGCGATGGTTCCAAATACACTTTGACAGGCTTTATTTGGGCCTTTAAGGTAAGAATTTTTATATAATGTTTCCAAAATTATAAGTAATTATTTAACAATTACTAATGTTTGTTATTATATTGTTTGTATATTTGGATATTTGAGGCCTTTCCCGCCATGAAGACATATGCAATAAAAACTTCAAATAATATTCCCATGGCTATTTCCTGGAAGAGGAAACGAACCTTGCAATGGGAAGATTTACTACGGTATACGACAATAAATAATGTAAGTTAACATAAATACTACCATATGTTTATAAACAAGTTATTACTAGTACACATTTAACTTTGTTTGAGCTTTTATATTGTTAGGAGGCCAACACTCCTCTACAGAGGCTGACACCCACGGAAGCTGAGCTTGCCACTGATTGGTGGCAAGCTAGTAAGCGTTTTTTTGATGGAACGGTTGATGAGCAGCCTCCACTTCGGGAGCCATCACCTCGCCCAGAGCTATCACCCCACCCAGAGCCATCATCTGATCGACCCGGCTATACACCTCCACAACGACAGCCATCACCTATTCTGTCACATCATCGAGCCTCTTCTCCACCATCACCACAAGATAGGCGACCGGAAAAGATGCCACGACGTTTATCTCCATGTTCTCCACCTCCACCTCAATGGGATGAGTTAGGGGAGTTACGTGATGAGGTCAATTCCTTGCGTGAGGAGGTCGGTACTTTACGCAAAGACGATGGTGCATGGCGTGTTGAGGTGTCTACATTACGCGGTGAGGTAGCCGCTCTACGTGAGATGGTAGCATCGTTGCAGAATGAGGTTCATACTCTACGCAACGAGGTAAGTTTAATATTTTTCATACTTGTAATTCATTCGGTTGCTGCCAATCTGTTTTTGTTAGTATTTGTTTTTGGTTTTGTTTTTGTCTTTTGGTTGAAGTAATGCAATCCATTCAAGTTTCAATTTGCAGAAGAAGAATAGTTTACTTTCGCAACACGAAATGACTATCGCAACGCGGAAATGGCTATCGCAATGCGAAATGAAAATCGCAACGACAAAATCGCAACGCGAAATGAAAATCACAATGCGATTTGTGTTTCGCGTTGCGATTTTGTCGTTGCGATTTCATTTCGCGTTGCGATTTTGTCGTTGCGATTTTCATTTCGCATTGCGATAGCCATTTCCGCGTTGCGATAGTCATTTCGCGTTGCGATTTTAAGTTTCGTGTTGCGAAAGTAAACTATTCTTCTTCTGGAATGTTTATATATGTTGTCCTTTTAAATGTTTATATAAGTGCTTACTTCTGGAATGTTATCTGAGCATTTTGTGAACTGTGATAGAATAATGATTTGGGTGAATACAATGCTAGTTTGAAACATATTTGTCTTTGTTTAATATCATGTCTGTTTATTTACTGATTTATGTATTAATTTTTTTAGCGGCCCGATAAGGTGGATGCTTTACGTCGGGTTTTCCTTGCATGACGGAGTTCACGCATCAGACGGCGTGGATGTGCTATTACGTCTCCGTTCACCCCAATGGTGCGAAGACTCCGCAAGAAGAAGCCCGACTCACCGGTCATCCCTCAAGAGTCCCCTCCAATCGTTCAAGAGGCCCCTATTCTCACTCAAGATTCCCCCCCACCGTTCAAGAGGCCACTGTCATCGTTGAAGAGGTCCCTCCCACCATTCCAGAGCCCGATTCACATGGGGTAATATATCGAAGTATTGAGAAACCCCCACCGGTTCCGGACATGATGGATGAGAGTTGGCTCTCGTATGAGTTACCGGCTAGTACCCTTCCGGTATCTGAAGTGGAGAGGAGACAACTACCGGAAACAATTGTGGATAATACCCTTTGGGCTAAGACCGCAGTTGATTTTTATCTACATGAGCGGAGCCAAGGGTGTTACACTGACATCAGCAAACTCAATGATGAAATGTTTTTGTTGCTTGATCGGTCTTGGTGGGGTGTGCTATTAGGGGTTGAAGACAGTGGCTATTTGGATGGGGAGGTAAGACTATATTTGTCTATATATGATTTTGATTAATTTGTTTAAAAATTAATGTAATTCACTAATATATGTATTTTTTTGTAAAACAGCATATCGATGCGTGGGTGTCACGTCTACTAATAATAAGGAAGCTTAGGAAAAATAAAAAAATTCGCTATATACAATAATGCCGACGGCTTTTCACGCAGTTCACTTGAAGAATCAACGAGATGAATCATTTTTGTTGGGCAATGGACAAGCTAAACTTTATCCTGCATGGTGGGAGGTCGATAAGGTTAGTGTTTATTTTTTAAATTTTTTAAAGGTGTTAATAAATAAGTGCGCAAATAAATGAATTATTACTTATGATCGCAGGTGTTTATCCCTGTTTTGGAACGTCGTCACTGGCTTCTCGTCCAACTTCAGCTCCCATCCCTAAAGATAATAGTGTATGACAGCATGATCAATTACATATCACTGTCTGATTTGAGAGATATTTTCAAGGGATGGAGCTCTCATTTTGCTAAATTCTTGGATGGGATTAAGTATTGGAGTCATTCTGGACACAAGAAGCCAAAGAAGTTCAATGTCACAGTTGTCAGAGACGAGACCGCGCCACAGCAATCGCCGGGAGCCAGAGGGGATTGTGGTCCTCTCGTATGCCTTTGCTTGGCGCGTTTGACGACGGGAAGCACAGAGTTTTTACCTCCCACCGATAGAGATAAAGCTGCAGTAGGCTTGTGGTTTCGGCATTATATGGCTAGAGCAATATATTCGAGACGCTGCCTACCTGCATCCGCGTTATGAAAGTGTCCATTGTTAATTGGTAAGTCAAATGCAAGTTTTGTTAACATATATACTCCTTTTGGTTTGAAAATGTTTGGTTAAGTACCTAGAATTCAATAATTTGCTGTTTGTAGGTTTTAGATGTGTAG